GTGGAAACGACCGATTCTGGTAGACGACATAATAGGGCCAGTTTGTAGAAGAGGGTAGAAAATGAGTCAGTAAGTGAGCGAGTGGAATGAAGGTTGAGAGAGAAAGGCAGCGACGAACGCGGCCGAAGTGAGGCTCGAGGTTGAATGGTCATCGCAAGATAGATGGGTGAGGCAAACGGTTCTTCCAAATGTACCCTCCATTGGACAATCCGTCTGTCCTGGTTAAGGCTACCTCCACTTGCGTGTGACGGTCACCGTGCTGACGACAGATTTACTTCTTCCAAGGCTATCGCCGCTCGGTCCAGAGACGCATCCATCAGCCTATTATTCTCTCTGTCCGCATGGCCAGGACTCTCCAGCGCCCATTCAGCCGGTTTCTGGATTGTCCCGATTTCAACTGGACAGTAATGCCATGAACGAAATAAAACATCAGACATGCCAAAAGCAAAGCCGGTTTCAACAGGCAGACATGTAGATGCTATCGTTCGAATTCTCGTGATTGCGCTCTTAAGAGCTTATGAAGATTAAAGCTATTCAAATTAACTTGACTAAAATGCTCGAGACAAACGCGCATAGAGACAGACAGACAGACAGAATGACAGAAACATCAACATAAGGTGCTTTTAGAAATGGCTTGGCAACAAAGACCGTGGAATTGTACTGTACGATGGGTTATTTTTTCCCTTTTCTGTTATAGCTCCAGACACTGGTGCCTTGCTACAATCACTAGCGTGAGATTGTATGCCAACTTGAGCATAATGCGCTTTGCACCTAAACCGCTAACTATAAATCATAATCATTCAGCATTTTTCTCAGCTAACATTCGACTTGGTCTTCTATTTGCCGTTGGGACTGCATAAGATGCAAAAGAAACAAAAGTATAATTTTGCACTTTTTGAGTGGTTATTAAAATGGTACAATATATATAAGCGACTAAATGCCAAAGCAATATTTGATGACATTAGAACAATGCCCATAAAATTTGTGAGTCACTAAAATTCAATCTTCTATTGAGTATCCCCCCCCCGTCCTAGCTTTGACGGATCTAGCGTACTTGCCTCTAAGGCAGTATCTTAATTTTAATTGGCCCTTCATGGCTAGGTTCGAGCCAGATCACAGACTCAGAAAATGCACTAAAATGAAATTATCCGTTGGCCATACGAGGCTGGTGAATTAGCTCAACTTTTGCTTATTGGCTGTAATCCAGCACACTGTCTACCACTTTTTGTCAAAAACTAGTCTGCTCTATTTCGCATGACAGGGAATTACTTGTGAAAATGTCTTA